TTTCACTGATGTAGTCATCAGCTGCTGCATCTTGAACCCACCTCAAAATGACCCTGGCTGTTGATTGGGCAACAAACCCAGCAAATCTTAACTTACAGTTCCCTTTGTTCAGAGAATACTGTAGAATCATTCATTTTCAGGGGTGATTTATTTTTGTTTTTTTTTAATGGGTTCTCTTAATCAATAAATTTATTGGTCCATGAAATGATAATAAGTCAGGAATAAATATCATTTTAACAATAAAGGATCCTAAAAGAACTATTTATCTATAAAATGAAATAAATCAAATATCAACTAAAATGTAATTTTATGGAAAACCATGAAAATTGAGACCCACAAAAATATATGACTTTACAGTATAGTATTAGACTAAAAGACACCAGGAAGCTGCCCAGAGAGGCTAATGCACTGGTTATTTTTATCTGTATTTGAAGGTATTATTTGTAACATTGATAGACAGTACAAGCTGCTGATAGCTCTGTGTAGTAACCTTTCACATATCAACACAAGCCATCACACAGGATTGTGTGAAACCTGATAGTGGGCCAATAAAAACACAATGGTTAGCTACAAATCAAAATATTTGTCCTCCATTCTGATATTCTGCCTTTAGAGTTCACTCCAATTATCTACACAGTAATAAACAGAATTGTCAGACAACAGTAAAAACATATACCATCACTTAACTACTAAAATCACATACTAGGGTATCAATTTCTGGTTCACCAATTACTGTAACAGTAACAATTCTAGATAATATCATTCTATACATGACAAACATAATGAAATAAGAGATCACGTTTGGGAGTTTTTAGTCAGACTGTCAATATCAGGATATTTTTTCTAAAAATCTTCAAATTGTATCATACAGTAGATAGTTGGATGGCAGCACAGTGGTGATGAACTCACTTTGCTTTCATCCAGACATCTGGGGTTTGGGGACTGAGGGTCATCTGTCTCCCATAGCTTAGCCTCACTCTGACCCAATATGAGTAATATAAGCTGTAATCTTGATTCACAATTGTTGTAAAATACATAGTTTATAATTTAAAATTTGGCATACATATTAATCCTAAAATATATTACCTAGCTATAAACATAAATATATAAATAAATTTGACAGCAATCAGTGACCATATTAATTTTCCTAATCAATTTCAATTTCAATAACAAATGAATGTTCTTATCTCAAAAACTGGCAGTAAACATTTATGTTTTACAAGAAATACACTATCACCATTTTGGCTAAGATTAAAGACTGGATGAAGATACTTGTTATTTCCAGATGTTAATGAAACATAACCATACCCCAGTGTGATAAATGAATTCATTATCCCAAATATTCATATTTCGAAATGAGGCGATAAAGAGCAATACTTTATTATCAAAACAATTAAATTTTGTTTCCTCTGAGAATTCAACAGGTCATATTATTTAATTTAGGTAATACGACAACTGTTGAACCCCTCTTAAACAAATGAAACTGACAAGGAATCATTTATATGTATGCTATCATATTTTGACAAAATACTAAGGTTATACATTTTGTGTCTGAAGGAAACTTAAGGCTGTGGGTGTTGTACTAAATAACAACATCAGTTATCCCTAGATCACTCAAATCTGTTATTCTCCTGACGTTGTGTGAAAAAGATTATAATAAATATATAAGCAAGAAATCCATAGCAAGGGAAGTAACTTCATCTGAAACCATCATGTTATCACGAGTTGCCCAACAAAGTCTGGCTATACTGCAGACATAGGAAATGTATTACAGAAGCGACATAGTGATTTCTACAATGTACAAGTCGAGCAGTAATAGGAAGGACCTGAAGCACAACAGAAATAATGTACAGATATAACGCAATCATTATTTCAGTTACAAATCTATGAAATATTTCATAAGAGAGAATGTCATGTCATAAAGATAATAAAGTTTAGATAATAAAGTTGAATATGAGCTAAGAGACCTGATTTATGCTGTTGTGTGACAACAAATGTTACATAACTGCACCATATCTACTCCAATCAAGGAAAGGACACTGTCGACAGTTACTGATAGTTAAAATGGGATTCAGTCACAAATTTCTCTAAGATAAATCTCAGATAATCTCTTGGATGGTGACGCATGAACCGGTCTTTGAAGTTGAATATCAAACACTTCTGAATGCATGAAGATCTGTAACCACAAAACAAACTTATCCCAGCATGCTACTGGCCCAATATCATGACCTGTCATAGGTGTAAGGATTCAGGAGGGGTAATGCTGTATGTGAAAGGGAGGGAGATAATGTTGTGTGTGAAAGGGAGAGAGATAAGCTGTGTGTGAAAGGGAGAGAGATAAGCTGTGTGTGAAAGGGAGAGAGATAAGCTGTGTGTGAAAGGAAGGGGTTAATGTTGTGTGTGAAAGGGAAAGAGATAAGCTGTGTGTGAAAGGGAGAGAGATAAGCTGTGTGTGAAAGGGAGAGAGATAAGCTGTGTGTGAAAGGGAGAGAGATAAGCTGTGTGTGAAAGGGAGAGAGATAAGCTGTGTGTGAAAGGGAGAGAGATAAGCTGTGTGTGAAAGGGAGAGAGATAAGCTGTGTGCGAAAGGGAGAGAGATAAGCTGTGTGTGAAAGGGAGAGAGATAAGCTGTGTGTGAAAGGAAGGGGGTTAATGCTGTGTGTGAAAGGGAGAGAGATAAGCTGTGTGTGAAAGGGAGAGAGATAAGCTGTGTGTGAAAGGGAGAGAGATAAGCTGTGTGTGAAAGGGAGGGAGATAAGCTGTGTGTGAAAGGGAGAGAGATAAGCTGTGTGTGAAAGGGAGAGAGATAATGTTGTGTATGAAAGGGAGAGAGATAAGCTGTGTGTGAAAGGCAGAGGGATGATACTGTGTAAGGAGATAATAAAACTCCTGCATGAGAGATAAGGGATAATGTTGTATGCATATGTGGAAAGGATAATGCTTTGTGAGATTGCTTAATTGAGAGAGTGGGATAATGCTGTGTATGTGAACGATTCATAACGCTGTGTGTGAGGGAAGATTTATACTGCAAGTGAGAGTGAAAATGATGATGTGTGTGAGACGGAAAATGATGATGTCTGTGAGAAGAGGAAGGATAATGCTGTGTGTGAGGGGGAGTGGCATAATGCTGTGTTAGAGGGAAAAGGATAATATTATGTGTGAGAGGGATTAATAATTCTGTATGTGTGAATTGAATGATAATACTTTGGGTGAGAATCAGGGGAAAAGGATAATGCTGGAAGTGAGAGGGGAAAAGAATATTGTAATTTGCGTATGCATTTAAGATGAGGGGGGATAAGGGCTTTGGACATTGTTGGGGAGGTGGGGGGGTCTTAACATACAAGCTGTATTTTTATGAGGGCTCGCCACATTTGTCTCTCTGTCCAGCCAAAATGCAGCTTATATTTTAAGACAATGACCATGTATTCTATTTATCCTGCAACAGTGACTACAAGTCAGCCCATCAAAACTTCAACAGTTTTTTGTTCAATCTTTGTTTGCCTGAAGTTGACATTACGCTGAATTTTGCCAAAATAATTGTTCCGCGTAGAAAGATACTTCAAAACTTCAACGGAAAAATCACTTATTTCAACAGTGATTTTTATTGTTTTAAAGTAAATTAAGAAATTAATTCCATCAAATTCATGCACATGCTAAAAATACAGCTGTTTTCCATCACTGCCCAATACAGCAAAAATATATCTGGCAGGCGTATTTCATCAGTGGCAATACCAGTTGCAGGATAAAAGTATATACCTGTTGATGTATATCTATGTGCAGCTATGGGAGGCAACATAAATATATCAAAACTTACTCCAATTACAAATTAAAGACTTAAAACATCTGTAAATAAATAAGCATTTATCTTTTCCCAATGGTTCCCTGTTGTCATTTTTTAAAATACAAACTGAAAGTCTCAAGCAGAACGTCATGAAATTATCAAATGAATGGGGAAATGTATCGTTATCTATTACACTGTATTCTAAGCTGTCGGTGCTGTGTACTGCCCCCATGTTTATGTCATTAACAGTTGACAATGAACATGGTTACATCTAAACCCTTATTACAAAGGTAATGTTATCCAGTACAACAGCAAAATTAGAAATACTCCTGGATGAGAAAATGGGGAATATATGGTCCCTCATATCTGAAACTAACCCCTCATTTTACAGGATGGTTCACCTTGTTATTGGCATTGAAAATGACCCATTGCTCTCAGGAATCAAAATGCTGGTCCCCCTTACAGCTTGTTATTTAAACTAATATATTAGATATGCTGTGTGTGTCGCCTGATGAAGTCATCAGTGTTGACGTGATGATGAATATGTGCACAACACACTGGTCACAATCTATATCGCGTGGTTTGGTTTAAACATCAGTGCAAACATACAGTAATCATCAAAGAACAGGGGTCGGGTTACTTTCTCATTAATCAGTGTGTGAATATGATGAGGAGACGATGGTCAAGGTGAATACTACCATATGAGTCACACATACAGTGTTGCCTCGTACACAACGTACGTGTATTGTATCTATCACACATGTGTCAATGGCACTCTATTGTCTGCATATAAACAGTGTTTACTGACCCTTACTTGTCAAGAAAAAAACCCTAATATATAATATGTTGTAAACATGAGCACATGATAAAACTGAAACGTTCGCTTGCTGGTGATATGTGACACCGGTAAAGACAGTCGGTTCTAACAAACGTTTCTTTGTGTGGACCAGACTCGAAGAGACGATCTCGGACAAAAGCGGTTACACTCTCTCCTATAAAAATAGAGAGGGTAGGACAAAAACCGTACAAGTTCTAATATATGATATTAACAATGACACTGGTGTCAAATCTATGCTTCTAACACATCATTCCGAAACGATGACTCGCACACCGCATCAGCGAGCTCCTTCTCGTCACTCACCATACCTCGCCTCGCTGTTCAACACGTCGGGATGGTCATAGATTAAAATATCCACACATACTACCAATTTTAACTTACCTTATCAAAACAATTGCTGGTGGACACTTTCATATTCATATCAAAGCATCACGGAAGAGCACATGGTTGATTTTCATACGGAATCCACAGTGTTAGAAGCCAAACCTTCCAGCTGCCATTTTATTTCATCAATGCTAACTATTTTTAGCATCCAATCAAAGTGGTCTATTTGCTCCTCTGGCTTCTGCGGATTCCAAAGTAACTTCCGGTGTTGCGGCTGCTGATGCACCAAGATAAAATACTCAAGATGCATTTTTGTATAAATTGGCATTCGGACATTAACTCATTATGTGGTAAAATTCATTTGAGAATTTCATGAAAAAATGTAGGTGTGGATTTTAATCTTGTACTTACAATCCAGGAAAGACTGATAAAAGATATTCAATATTGAATCGAACCTATTGAATAAATCAATATGGTAAATACATGTAGGGAACGTAAAAGTACATTTAAACTTTCTATTGTTGTTATTGAAATAACTGGATTTAGGTTAAGGATGATTCAGAAACGTTTTCCAATGATTTCCTGTAACAAGTTGCGCGCACAGGAGACTGACGTGTATTTTGATACTTTGTATATAGAAGGGTTGCTACATGTATGTGTGCATGCGTGAATGTGAAGGTACATTTTGAAATGTGATTATGTCCTGTTACTCTTCCGATAATTGAAGGACATAATGGCAATAATATTAATAATACTAATAATAATAAAGATAGAACAATAATAGAGTATTCCTTTGGGTCTAAAAATAAAATAAAGTCAAAAACCCGGGTATACATTTCACATTTCATATAAAGGTAGACATATGTATTCACATTAAAATACCTTGGGATAAAGATAGACATTTTTTTTATTTGGAGCAGATCAAGCAAATAAATCGGGTTTTTTTTTTTTTTTAATTATGAAAACATCGATGTTATGCTATTATACCATGTCATTTCGTCCACAGGCGCTTGTGGACATGAAAAAGATTTTTTTAATCAAATACGGTAAGTTAATGAAGAATAAACCATGTTATGACATTCAAAATGCTTCATTTCAAAAGTACTGAAGATAACAACCCATGTAACCACCTTAAACACCTGGACGTCATAAAATGGTTAATTCTTCATTTATCTACCCACGGACTTATATACACATATATAAGTCCGTGATCTACCTTATCGAATTTTGATAAAAATTATATTATGTCCACAAACACTTGTGATTTCGATAATAATTTTTCTTAGGACGAGAGTCTCTCTAAATGAAATAAATTGTCCAGTTTTATCCTTAATCTTAATCGTAAGACAAGACGAGTCACAATCTCTGGATTTAGGAAAATTGACATTCAAGGTTGGAAGACGAGTTCGTCAACTTTGTGAGAAAAAATGCCCTCAGCCTGATCTACGTGGATTTGTCACCATAACTTCCAATATATATAGGTACCAGATCCGGAAATTCTAATTTTATCGTGGTCTTAGAGTCTTCACGTCCACCTGCTATGCTGCACTATAAAAGTTGTTCTTGTAACATGTGTCATAAAATCAGTTATCTTGTTAGCAAAGTAAGATAACTTTAATTACAGTGTACATTACATTTCGTTAACTGTTATCCTATGATACGGATTCTGATAAAGTTTGAATTAAACGGAACAACGCGCAAATGTAGCTTTCTTACATAGACTGTAGTAAACTTTACCAGTTCCCTAGGGAGAAATGATGAGACCCTGCAGCCAAAAAATTCATAATCTTGGTTAAGTTCCTTAAGACCAACCTGTCCATGGTGAGTGTTTGATACTACCATATCTGGATGTTGAAAAGAAGGTTTTTGAAATTTAAGTAACTTTGTTCACTATTGGCCCCGATCGTCAGCCGCTTGGAGTCAGCCATGATCAATATGTGCTTACTATCACAGCGTTATCCTATACTAACAATTCTAATCAGGTTTGAAACATGTCCAGTTGATGAGGAAGACGGGTTCGGTCCCAGTAAGCACTAGAAATCTCAACAAGTCTCAATTTAATATTTTCTGGGTGTGACACAGCATGTGTCTGATTAATACGACACACAGATATTCCGCAAATAATTATTATTTCATTGCTAAAAATCGAGATGATACAGAATTTCAATCATTTCATGAACAAAAATAAACACATTTAAATCAATGGTCACTATTATTCGTAAAATCATATTCAAGTGAACACTCTCTTCCTTGACAAACACCCTGCCTAAAATTCAATTTAATTTTAACAAATTGTTTGTTTGATATATAATATTTATCATGGTAGGTAGCTTGTTGATAATAACTCTGTATTATTCATCTCTCCAAATGCCTTGGGGTACCGTTTTAGAGCCCCAGTTTATTGTGTGAAAGGTACACACCGTTTGCCGGAAACCTGCCTGTGGGAGGGGATTAGTGGTCGAGACAGGATACTAATTAGTAAATTGGAGTGTGAAATCACCTGAGGAAGGCAGTTAACTGTCGGTTTTACCTGTATTACATAAATAAATGAGTTCCCGATTCAATTTTAATAAGAGTTTACAAAATAATCACGAAACTCTATATTTTATCGACAATTTTAATTTCCATCACCAAAATGCTATGTTGCTGACCGTGGTTGTGAATATCTGAGATGTTAAACATTCTTGTTAAAACGTCATCAACATGTTCAGTGCTTGCCAATTGTTATCTTAGAACAAGGAGACGCAAAACAATAGAACATGTAGTCCAGTTTTAAAGACGAAAACAGTTTGGAAATTTGAACGTATTTTTTGTTTTTCATAATGTCATGATAACTATTGTTTGAATAACTGAATTTTAACTACATTTTAGAGAATATCTCAATTATTATGTGTGATTCTACACTAAATTTTTGGTGAATGTTACGTATATTGGGGCTTTAATATCTTTTCAAAGATAGCTTAGAATACTTTTTAAATATTGTCATTAAAATGAAATCGGGTAATTGTGTGTTTGAAATAATATACATTCCTATTGAACTGTTCTGTTTGAACTCTTGGTTTAAATAATCGTTGTAATCTCATATTCTGATACACGTAACAGCAACAAGACGCTTTATAGGAATTATATATATAATGGTACACCATCTGTTTAGCCTGTAGGAAAACATACAGGTAAATAACACTGTGTCTATCTGGCCCTGACATCAAACACACACCTGTGTCAAGGTGTTCACCAGGTATGACATGAAAGGGATGTCAGCGCGAGCTGCAATTAGCGTGTCTTCCAATTAACATGTTTGACAGATAATGAAAATGCCACCCGATTGATTTTTACTCGTTGTTAATCTCAGATCTGTTCGATTTCGTTACGGGTTTTTTTAGATATGTGTATGCAAATAGGAAGTAATTAGTAATTTCTAAACCAATGTGAAATCTTTGTAACAATTTTACATGCAAGAAATGCCGAGTGCTTTAACTATTTTCCACTCAGGCTAATTACAACATGTGTTTGAGAAATTTAGATTTTAGAGCTAAGTATCTAAGACCTGCCAAATGAGGATGCTTGAAATAACGTAGACGTTATCAAACAATCTAATTTCCGTGATTAATTTGATTAAATTAATTAATAATTACGTAACTTGTGAATCCACGGAACAAATCACGGATAATGAAGTATGAATACCTACATTTTTGGTCTTTTAATAGCACGGCTGCCAGAGACGTTTGAAGTGTAATGGGTTGAAAGAGTTATTTCCCTTAGCGAGCAGAATGATAGGAGTCGGGAATTCGCGTATATGACAAAACAGAGTGTTCCTAAACCTGCTCTAGAAAACTGGCGTAACATTTCTTAGGACTTTTAATCTCTTGGAAAAACTTAATTCTGATATTACTCCTTTATTCGAATACATGGCAAACATATCCGGAATTTTCCGCTAACTTCAGATTTTGACTTTAAATCTATCGTCACGAACTTGTCACATTTATATGGGACTTATATACATGCAAATTGTCGTTATAGATTTTTGTATATTCACCGTGTAAATGAAATGAATTCTCAACTATGTACATTACTTTCTGTCCATCATGGTATGGCTTTGTAACACGAAATCATAAACTTTAATAACTTTCCGCCAAACTGTGCAATATCAAAAAAAGTTTGACAAAAAAAACAAAAACCTTGTTTCCAAAATTGAATACGATCACACACTAATATATATAGTGACAAATATAACAAAGTGTTAAAAACGAGCACTTCAAGAGCTTCATATATCTAAGAACTCATATACGGCAAGTGTGTCGGAAACGTGCTATTGATCAGCGAGTATCTTCGGCACTTAAATCTTCATTAATATCCGGAAGTAATTACATCCGGCTGCACATCAGTCGTTTCGTTTTGTTTTGTTTTGGATTTTGAGACAGATTGTTCAATTTTATCACTTTTAGCGTTTGTAGGTGACACAATTCATAAGCACGGACGAAGACAACTCCGTACATGGTATTATGATATTATCCGCTGCGATGTATATGCATATGTGGGATCTAGATAGTAAACCACGATCATGATACATGATTTACTGTTACTATACAACTTGAAAGGTTTTAATACACACATACGTATCATTCCTATCTGTTTATTATTTACTGTTGACAATCCGGACAAATTTATCTAGTGTATGTCGTATAAATATGAGACGGAATAGGGAAGCCACCTTTTCATAGAGGAGGTTTATAGTACAAATAGGAACTGTAAATTTTGTTCGTTGTGTTTATCACCCCCTGAAGAGCCAGCTCAGTTCAGAGCGTGGAGACTCCTGTTAGTAGCTGGCGAATACCTTACAGAGCAGCACATGGGAGGCCCATTAACATCCCATCCACAGCAGGGAGGTTCCTTGTATTAGCTGGTGAATACCTCAATGAACAGCATCAGAAGTTCCATCACATGCCATCCAAAGCCGGGGGAGGGGGTGTTCCTTGTTTTAGCTGGTGAATACTTCACTAAACAGCATCAGAAGTTCTATCTCATGCCATCCACAGCATGGGAGTCCCCTTGTAGTAGCTGGTGAATACCACACTGAACAGCATACAGAAGGCCCATCAAATGCCATTCAAAGCCGGGGGGGTGGAGGGGTTCCTTCTTTTAACTGGCGAATAACTCACTAAACAGCATCAGAAGTTCTATCTCATGCCATCCACAGCATGGGAGTCTCCTTGTAGTAGCTGGTGATCATAAATAACACACTGAACAGCATACAGAAGGCCCATCAAATGCTTGACCAAGAACAAAACCACAACAGCTCATGAAAAATACAAACTACATAGGGAAAGTCCACATGGACTAAGCTATCCTGGCCCTTTTTACAAGTCTATCTCCTTGATGAAAGAAGGAACAACAAGGCTTGTGAGTCAGCCACATATTTTATTTTCAAACAACAGACAACTGGAGTAATATCACAACTGTAATAAATGTTAATCTATTTAGTATCTAACTAAATAAAATGAGTAATGCTAAGACAGAAACAATGTGCAATACATCTGAACTCTTTTTTATTGGAGATTAAGGCACAGATTGCAGTGACTCTCCACCTTAAATTTTAAACTGAGACATACCCATATTATAATTGTTTGATTTGAATCATTATTTTAATATCATCAAGTTACAAAGAGCAACCTTAAAACTATTACAAAGCACAGAGATTTAGTTCATAATATCATATTTGATATGATATATTTGATGCTGTCCTTTTCTGTCTGAGGTAGTGATTCATACGAACTTCACAATAAAAACTGGGATGATATAGGACTTAATGTCAAATTAATTCCTATATGGAACAATGCCAGGTATCATTGTGAGGTAAACCCAGCATCCATCAATACAGCTGATCCTGTCATACTTGCTCCAGCATCTGAACACATGAACATAGCCAGCTCCGCAATCTGAAACGGAGCGACATTAAAAGATACTGAAGAGAAAAATATAAATAAAGGAAAATGAAACAGTACAAGTTTATTGGTGTGTATGAAACATTGATGTACAACTTGTAAAGTGTAAAACATTAAATCTTCATCAGCATTTCTCAGAGCACATAAAATATTGGTCATGATTTGATATCTACTCACTATATATATGAATTGTATTTACCTCTGAGATCGTGACTGGTTTACCAGTTGGGTTTTTCGCAAAACCCCTCCTCTGAAATAGGATAATGAATTCAATTAAATACTATTCATCTTAACACAAAATTTGTTTTTTTAATCCATTTAAACACATGAACATAAAGCTGAGATACAATTTAGCTGTGTGTTGAACTTAACCTTATTATCAAATATAACTTACCATTAAAAATGGTTATGAATTTGGTTATTGTAAAGAAATACTTTGGTAACCAAGGAAATGGATCATGTTACCATGGTAACCAGGTAGCTAGACTATGTTACTTTGGTAACCAGTAAGCTGGAATATATGTGCTACTCCAGTAACAAGGGAACTGGGCTGTGTGACTATGGCAACCACGGTACTGGGCTGTGTGACTATGGCAACCAAGGAACTGGATTGTGTTACTGTGGTAACCTGGAAATAGGACTGTTTAACTATGGTAATCTTGGAACAGGACTCTCTTACTGTGGTAATTAAGACCCTGTTACTGTGTAACCAGGCAACTGGAATTTGTTATTATGGTAACCGAGGAACTGGATTATGTAACTGCAGTAACCAGGGAACTGAACTTTGTTACTGTGGTAACCAGTAAACTTGACTGCGTTTCTGTGGTAACTATGGAAATTGGCACTGTTATTGTGGATACAAACCAACTGAACTCTGTAGCTGAGGTAACTAGGAACTGGACTGTGTTATTGTGGTAATCAGTGATCTTAACCATGTTGCTATGGTAATTAGGGATTCTGACTATGTTACTCTGGTAACTAGGGAACTGGAATGTGATACTTTGGTATCTAGGGAAATGGACTCTGTGACCGTGGTAACCCAAGGAAGTGGACTGTGTTACTTTGGTAACTAGAGATTTTGACAGTGTTATTGTGGTAACCAGGGAACTTGACCTAACAGAACTACCATTATTACTGTTAGTAAGATACAATACCAGAGCTTCCTCTGTCGTGATATTCTGCTCTTTTGCCATCTTCTCAGCTGTTCTGTTAAATACTACAATAATATACAAAGTCAATATTTGATAAGTGAATCAGCAGCTTTTTCATAGAAAACAGACTCATCTTTAATGCATTCAATCCAACGACACAGATTTACACTGATTACACCACTATTTTGTAAATGAAGAAACTACTACCTGACTTATCGTTTATGTAACACAAGGTTGAAATGATGAAAAGTTTTAATATATATAACAAAGTTCTTACACAGTATTACAAAGCACTGAATGTGTCAGTATTTGCAAATTTCAAGCATGAGTTGTCTTAATAAAAGTTTCGAAGAAATGAAGGTGGCTGAATCATTTTATCAAGAAATTAAATCTTAGCAAGTATCAATATCAAGTCAAAAGTTTTGAACCCGAAAAGAGATAAAATTTTTAAATGCAATTTTGTCTTCAAATTTAAGGAAGCTGAATATTATAAAGTTTGTTATAATGGAGAAGCATTAATTTCACTTTTCTTTTAGGACAAAAGTAAGATCACAAAAAGATACATTTGTACCTTGTGTTATGGATTCCATAAAAATGTGTCATTTTCGATTGAATTTTTTTGGTAAAATCACCAGAATTTGAACCCTTGGTAAAGTAAAATTTACACTGGGTACCTGTATATCTTTTCAAGTTGGTTACTGAATATTAGTTAAGAATTGTATATGCAAATTATATGTATGTGAAAGCAGAGACGGACTAAAATCAGTTGATCAAACCAGGAAAAAAAGATAATAAAATGTGGCAGGTTATTGATGGTAATAGTGACTGACTCCATCAGAACCCTGACATCAGCATCTGTCAGGAGAGTATGACCTACAAATTTTTTACCATTATGAATGTTTTCCCCAAAGAATTTATTATACTGTAATATCAAGAAGAGAAGGATTACTTGGTGCATCTGCGAACCCTGGGCATATACAGTTACAGGTAATTCCATGAGCAGCTCCCTCTAGTGCCACCCCCTGTAACAAAAAACACCTATATAGAGTTACAGGTAATTCTATGAGTAGCTCCCTCCAGTGCCACCCCCTGTAACCAAATACACACATAAATTGCTGGAATACATCAGCTGTTTTAACACCACAGTGTACTTTAGTCTTGGTTACATAATAATATAAAAATGCCTACCTGGTTTTTACCCACTACCACAATACACACAACCAAATGTGTTTGTATACAGATTAAACACATAAAAAGCAGAATATTGTTTATATTTGAGACTGGCAGTCAATCTCTTTGTTGTGAAAGGTAGGTCTGCATATAAATGTATACATGTAGATAATTTACATAAAATCTTAGGCTATGATATACATTTGTCTGCATCATCATCATCATTAGTATGAATAAAGCAGTAATTTCCACTCTCACTTCAACTAACTACCTTTTGTATGTAGATATACTTTTGATGAAAGATATAAATACAAAGAGTTGCATAGCTCTTACTATTGTTTTTCTATCATAAGTAAAACATACAAAAGAGGAGATAGGAAAGATAATGTATATATTTATTTTTGAAACATCTTTCATGTAGTCATATGCATAATATACAATATCTATATATTTCTGTCACAGGTGTGCTGGGCCCATTGTAAGCTCGGAAAATACAACATAATATCAGACTATCTGATGCTTGTTAGTCACATGTAAACAGCTGTTGGTTGCTAAGGAACAAATTTCTATATGCCAGGTATATGTATATAAGCAATGTAGTAATTTGGAAACATTCATAATCCATAATGGAAATTTATCTGATTGATAAAATGAAAGTTTATCAGTGTTATCATCAATGGTATTGATTTCGGTATTCATAGTCCCCCAAGTTTTCAGTTGATATAAATTTTTCAAGATTTAAAAAATCAAGATTTTCAATATACTAAACATATACACAAAAATACAAAATAACCTTTCTTTAAAATTTAAAATAAAAATAAAAATATGAAAAATATAGATGTTTTTCACATGTTTTAGTCGCTATGTAGTCCTGATGACATTCACATAGAGATCATAACATGTCTACAACATCTAGATCACAATAAGGAAGACAAGAGGCTCATAGGGTCTGCATCGCTCACCCGGCTTTGCTTGGCTGAAAACGCATTATTAAAAGTGAGGGAAAAGGAATTCAATATATCCAAGCACACAATGCAATAAATATCTGTTTCCCTACTGGAGTCCGACCCTCTTTCCTCAGGAAGTCAGTCGAATAATTTGTTCTTCGGACCAAGTCACTCCTACTGTAGAAGCAGGATTTTAAAGACTTTGCTTCATTTTCCCTATTAGGCCCTGCCCTTCTACATCAGTGGGCTGAGACCCTCAAATTGATTCCTACCAAAAAATGCTCCTGACCAAATATGGGCAAACTCCAATTATTCCTACAGGAAAAGTAGGATTTTAAAGATTTTGCTCTTTTTCCCCAATTGGGCCCAGTCCCTTTAGGCTAATAACCACCATTTATACAAAACTGAGTTCTCTTCATCAAAGAAGCCCCCTTGGGACTGTGACCTACCATTGATACAAAATTTGTTTCTCTTCCACTAAGGATGCTTCTGACGAATTTGGTCAAAACCTGCTCAGTCATTCATGACTAGTAGTGAGTTGTAGAAAAAAGTTGACTGATGGATGGACAATGGACGACATACACTGCAGTATGCCAATAGCTCACTTGGTCCTTCAGGTTAGGTGAGCTAATAATTGTTCTTGGATGTTGAGAAGCCTACATTTTATGTTCACCACAAAGGAAGGACATCTATTGAATACCATACGGTATCCACCCAAGAAGATACTACTGTTTGAAACAATTGGAGTGTTGGTTATCCTTCTTTTTAGTTTCTGATGATTCAAAATTGTTACGACAAGATTTAGAATATCACATTAAGTTAAACTATAGTAAATTCTTTACATGTCACACTTTAAATTGTAAAGAGAGCTGACATAGATAGTGTACATACGTGTGACAATAGCAGGAATTTGCAGTTCGTAGTACCTTGGACAATCCTAGGAGTCATATCTTCTCTGCAATCGACATAGATTGTACACAAGGATAATGTTAGGGGAACTTGAATACAGCACTAGATAATGCTCACACAGATTGAATACAGGGATGTGTGACAATAACAGGAGTTAGTAGAACTCTGTTCTATTTTTGACTGATCCTATAGGCCCACCTTAACAGCACTATATAATGTGGACAATGATTGTACACAGGGATGTGTGACAATAACAGGAGTTAGAAGAACTTTGTATACACCTTGACTAGTTGTATAGGCCCACCTTCACAGCACTAGATAATGCTGACATAGATTGTACACAAGGATGTGTGATAATAACAGGAGTTATAAGAACTTTGTATACACCTTGACTCGTCCCATAGGCCCACCTTCGCAGCACTAGATAATGCGGACATAGATTGACATAGATAGACATAAAGACCACAACTAGAGTTTGTAGTCTGTATTACCTTAGCCAGTCCTATGAGACCTGCCTTCACAGCACTATAGGGAGCCTTCCCTGGTCCACTGATCATTCCCATCTGAGACGACATGTTCACAATTCGTCCCCAGCCTGCAATATACAACAAACTAAATTCAGATATTTTTAACCAATCTTCAATGATTTTTCTCATTTTTTTCAGCATTCAAAGTTGGATAATAATAACAGGATTGGTTTTCTGGTCGACATATTCTGAAATCCAATTTATAAATATGTCAAGAAACCCGATGTTGCTATGACCTCATGAACAGTTAAAATAAAATGAATGTTATTCTTCTTTATCAGAACAGCCTTTTTGGGGTGTTGCCTTCATTGTAGGAACAGCCTCAGATAAAATCATTTTACCTACATGATAAATTATGTTAAATTTTCAGAACTCTTTGGGCATCACACCGTGAAATAATGACAATTTTTTAACAAGACAGGGCAGCAAATTTAAAAATGTGTGAAAAATAACGAATAGAACATTTCTTGTGATTTCATAAAACATTTATCAAGACACAAGGAATATAGTTTATTTCTTAACTGAATACGTCACTTGATGAGATGCTTTGATAGATATAGTGACTGAGTAAATAATATATAAAAATATATGAGATTTAAAACAACTTATATAATATATCCAAATATATTCTATAAATAACTTTACCTTGATTTATTTTCGTGTTTATACATGATGTGAGTAACAGATGAATTCATGATTGTTTGCACTAAAAATGACTCTGAATGGCATCCATGTTGATTTGGTTACCAATATTGGAGTCTTGAAGAGTCTCTAAAAGCTCATCATTTGCAAATTAAAAGTCATTTTAAGATTAGCTTTCAGGAAATCATATATTTGCGAATATGTCTGAAGAGGTATGTTTGCAGAATAAAATATTTGTGATATTTAAGTGATGTCAGTATAGCTTACCCTTGGTCTTCATGCCTGGAAGGAATGCTTTCATCAGATGAAATGGGGCTGACAAAGACACCGCAACCATCATGTCCCATTTCTCTGTTGGATAATCTTCTACCAAATCAAGATGCTGCACACCTAGTTAAACAAGAGTATCGCAAAATACGCCCATAAATATCCAAAAGATCAAAGGGGCATAACTCTTATTCAAATCGTCTAATCAAAACCCCGTTCAGGAAAACACAATTTCATATCATGGTGATTAAGACTACCAAGTTTCATAAAGATCGGCTGAAAAATGTAGAAGGAGATCTCCGGACAAATAAAAGTTTATGACGGACGGACACCAGACGCCAGAGACAGACAGGGCCATACCATAATACGTCCATCTTTCGACGGGCGTATAAAAAATGAAAAACCACAACATATACATCTAACTCCAGGCCAAGATGTTATACAACTGGACTGACAAACAAAAAACTACAACATATACATCTAACTCCAGGCCAAGACGTTATACATCTAGACTGACAAACAAAAAACTACGCACAATCAATAGTACACTACAACATATACATCTAACTCCAGGCCAAGATGTTATACATCTGGACTGACAAACAAAACACTACAACATATACATCTAACTCCAGGCCAAGATGTTATACAACTGGACTGACAAACAAAAAACTACAACATATACATCTAACTCCAGGTCAAGATGTTATACAACTGGACTGACAAACAAAAAACTACAACATATACATCTAACTCCAGGCCAAGACGTTATACATCTAGACTGACAAACAAAAAACTACGCACAATCAATAGTACAATACAACATATACATCTAACTCCAGGTCAAGATGTTATACAACTGGACTGACAAACGAAAAACTACAACATATACATCTAACTCCAGGCCAAGACATTATACATCTAGACTGACAAACAAAACACTACAACATATACATCTAACTCCAGGCCAAGATGTTATACAACTGGACTGACAAACAAAACACTACAACATATACATCTAACTCCAGGCCAAGATGTTATACAACTGGACTGACAAACAAAACACTATACACAATCAATAGTACACTTTACATAAACAGAAAGACAGATGAACAGTACCTAACTTTGTTTGGGATGGAGAGGGGTGGGGACTGTAGGGGGTGTAAATCAACTGTTATACCAGCCATGCTGACCCATTTAACCAGAACATAAGCTACCATATACCTAGCAACATTAAAGTACGCTAATATAATTGGTTATATTTATAGGGGTTTTATCTTATGATGTTCACGATCTTTCAAATGGCATAAAATTACCCAGTAAATGTTTTTTACAGTAAATCCAAATCTTATTAAAAGTAAGCTCTAGAACAGCATACATCCATACAAATGTATAGACATGCTCTCCTTTTAACTGCTTAAGGAGGTCTGTAGTAGTACTTAACTTGATTAGCCCCTAACTAGGACAACAGCAACATATTAGTGCCAAGAATATAAACAATTATTTAGTAAGTGAGCTGTCACACATAACAGCATTGTTGATCAGTAAGTTAGCTGTCACATATAACAGTATTGTTGATCAGTAAGTAAGCTGTCACACATAACAGCATTGTTGATCAGTAAGTGAGCTGTCACCCATAACAGCATTGATGATCAGTAAGCTGACACATGTAACATTGTTGATCAGTAAGTAAGTTGTCACACATAACAGCATTGTTGATCAGTAAGTGAGCTGTCACACATAACAGCATTGTTGATCAGTAAGTAAGCTGTCACACATAACAGCATTGTTAATAAGCAAGTAAGCTGTCACACATAACAGCATTGTTGATCAGTAAGTAAGCTGTCACATGTAACAGCATTGTTGATCAGTAAGTAAGCTGTCACATGTAACAGCATTGTTGATCAGTAAGTAAGCTGTCACATGTAACATTGTTTATCAGTAAGTAAGCTGTCACACAGAACAGCATTGCTGATTAGTAAGTAACCTGTCACACATACTGACATCATTAACCAGTATGTAAGCTGTCATACGTACCGGCATTGTTAATCAATATGTCCACTCCTGTAGGATACAACTCTAACACTTGTTTACAGAAGTTCTCTATTGAGGTCACAGAACGCAGATCTCCTGGCACAAAAGTAGCCTCCACCTTGTAATCACTGTAGAAACAAGGAAGAAATTGTGACGTAGTTCTATATGATAGGTAGGACTTGTGACGTAGATCTATATGGTGAGTAGGACTTGTGACGTAGTTCTATATGATGGTTTAAATTTGTGACATAGTTCTATATGGTGGGTAGGACTTGTGACATAGTTCATATGATGGGTAGGACTTGTGACTTAGATCTATATGATGGGTAGGACTTGTGACGTAGTTCTAAATGATGGACAGGACTTGTGACGTAGATCTATATGGTGAGTAGGACTTGTGACGTAGTTATATATGATGGTTTAGACTTGTGACGTAGATCTATATGATGGACAGGACTTGTGACGTAGTTCTATATGATGGACAGGACTTGTGACGTAGATCTATATGATGGTCAGGACTTGTGACGTAGATCTATATGATGAGTAGGACTTGTGACGTAGTTCTATATGATGGGTAGGACTTGTGACATAGTTCTATATGATGGGTAGGACTTGTGACATAGTTCTATATGATGGGTAGGACTTGTGACGTAGTTCTATATGACGTAGTTCTATATGATGGGTAGGACTTGTGACGTAGTTCTATATGATGGGTAGGACTTGTGACATAGATCTATATGGTGAGTAGGACTTGTGACGTAGTTCTATATGATGGTTTAGATTTGTGACGTAGTTCTATATGATGGGTAGGACTTGTGACATAGTTCTATATGATGGGTAGGACTTGTGACGTAGATCTATATGGTGAGTAGGACTTGTGACGTAGTTTTATATGATGGTTTAGATTTGTGACGTAGTTCTATATGGTGGGTAGGACTTGTGACGTAGTTCTATATGATGGGTAGGACTTGTGACGTAGTTCTATATGATGGTTTAGATTTGTGACGTAGTTCTATATGGTGGGTAGGACTTGTGACGTAGTTCTATATGATGGTTTAGATTTGTGACGTAGTTCTATATGATGGGTAGGACTTGTGACATAGTTCTATATTCTATATGATGGGTAGGACTTGTGACGTAGTTCTATATGATGGATAGGACTTGTGACGTAGTTCTATATAGTTCTATATGATGGGTAGGACTTGTGACATAGTTCTATATGATGGGTAGGACTTGTGACATAGTTCTATATGATGGGTAGGACTTGTGACATAGTTCTATATGATGGGTAGGACTTGTGACATAGTTCTATATGATGAGTAGGACTTGTGACGTAGTTCTATATGATGGGTAGGACTTGTGACGTAGTTCTATCTATATGTGATGTTCTATATGGTAGGACTTGTGACGTAGTTCTATATGATGGGTAGGACTTGTGACGTAGTTCTATATGATGGGTAGGACTTGTGACATAGTTCTATATGATGGGTAGGACTTGTGACGTAGATCTATATGATGAGTAGGACTTGTGACATAGTTCTATATGATGAGTAGGACTTGTGACGTAGTTCTATATGATGGGTAGGACTTGTGACGTAGATCTATATGATGGGTAGGACTTGTGACGTAGTTCTATATGATGGGTAGGACTTGTGACGTAGTTCTATATGATGGGTAGGACTTGTGACATAGTTCTATATGATGGGTAGGACTTGTGACGTAGTTCTATATGATGGGTAGGACTTGTGATGGTAGGACTTGTGAAGTTCTAGTTCTATATGATGGGTAGGACTTGTGACGTAGTTCTATATGGTGGGTAGGACTTGTGACGTAGTTCTATATGATGGACAGGACTTGTGACGTAGTTCTATATGATGGTTTAGATTTGTGACATAGTTCTATATGATGGATAGGACTTGTGACATAGTTCTATATGATGGGTAGGACTTGTGACGTAGTTCTATATGATGGGTAGGACTTGTGACAAAGTTCTATATGATGGGTAGGACTTGTGACATAGTTCTATATGATGGGTAGGACTTGTGACGTAGTTCTATATGATGGATAGGACTTGTAACGTAGTTCTATATGGTAGGTAAGATTTGTGCCGTAGATCTATATGATAGGTAGGACTTGTGACAAAGTTCTATATGATGGGTAGGACTTGTGACGAAGTTCTATTTCATAGGTATGACTTGTGACATAGTTCTATATGATGGACAGGAATTGTGACGTAGTTCTATATGATGGAGAGGACTTGTGACGTAGTTCTATGTCATAGGTATGACTTGTGACGTAGTTCTATATGATGGAGAGGACTTGTGACGTAGTTCTATATGATGGACAGGACTTGTGACGTAATTCTGTATGATGGACAGGACTTGTGACATAGTTCTATATGGTGGGTAGGACTTGTGACGTAGTTCTATATGATGGTTTAGATTTGTGACGTAGTTCTATATGATGGATAGGACTTGTGACATAGTTCTATATGATGGGTAGGACTTGTGACGTAGTTCTATATGATGGGTAGGACTTGTGACAAAGTTCTATATGATGGGTAGGACATGTGACATAGTTCTATATGATGGAGAGGACTTGTGACGTAGTTCTATATGATGGACAGGACTTGTGACGTAATTCTGTATGATGGACAGGACTTGTGACATAGTTCTATATGATAGGTAGGACTTGTGACAAAGTTCTATATGATGGATAGGACTTGTGACGTAGTTCTGTATGATGGGTAGGACATGTGACATAGTTCTATATGATCGGCAGGACTTGTGACATTGTTCTATATGATGGGCAGGACATGTGATGTAGTTCTATTTAATGGGTAAGATTTGTGACATTTTTCTATATCATGAGTAGGACTTGTGACAAATATAAACACACCTTTTCAAGGTTGTGATGACTTGATCTATAGTAGCTTGGTCTGCCAGTCCTGTTATGATGAGAGAACAACCTCTTGACGCCAATGCGGTGGCTATTCCATAACCAATACCACTTGTTGACCCTGTCACAACGGCAACTTTCCCTTGCATACTCATGTTTTCTTTAGGTAAAATGACAAATTACATGTTACACACTAGCTTTAAAATGATCTTTGATATAGCAAGTCTGTTAAGTATGAACAAGAGATCAGAGAAGTCTCTGATCATCCACACTAGCTTCATCTTTGGCATAGTTTTTTATCAGTCGCATCTTTTCCATCTTTTTTAATTTCCCCCAATACAAACAGGGACCAAGGGGACTCGACAAAAAATTTAACCAAGTTTAATAATTCATGGTTCTACCAAGTGAGGGAAAGAAGCATGGTCCATCATTTAAATAGTGACTTAACACTCTGTACAAGCCACAATAGGCCAACTAAATCATTTGCAATACTGATCCCACTTTTTTCTTGAGATTTAAAAAAAAATTCTATCTGGGACTGTGTTCTGCATCCAACAAAAGCAAAGAAGTATGTTTAGTAATGTGAATGATAACTACCATATTTAACACTACTGTGTACAAGCCAGACTGACCCCCTCCTTTTACACCAACTGTAAATGAGAAGATCAAATATTGCTTCCTGGTAGCCATTTTGTTTTCAAATCAAACTCATTGATCCGATGATCACTACAGACACTCACATTCAGGCAAGATGGATACTCTTAGCCCTGGAGGAAACAGTATCTTGGGCAAGAATGACCTTCAAACCCAGAAAGTCAAGATCAATGGTCATAAAGAAGGGCAGAGTAACGCAGCAGTTCCAACTGAAGGTACAGGGGGAGGAAATACCATCCATCATAGGAAACCCCATCAAATGTCTGGGGAAGTGGTTTGATGAATCATCAGGAGATAAGGCCAATATCCAAAGGATAGAACAACAGGTCACAAAAGGAATATAGACAAGACAGGTCTCCCAGGGAAACTTAAAGCTTGGATTATCAGCATGGCCTCCATCCACGCTTAGCCTGGCCCTTGATGCTTTATGAGATTACGACTTCAAAAGTGGAGAAAATGGAGCATATTATCAAGAGACATCCCCGAAAGTGGTTGGGAGTTCCTCCAAGCTTTACTGCATTAGGCCTAAACAGCAGAACAGCAAAACTCCAACTCCCCATCTCTTCATTTGTGGAAGAATTCAAGGACTCCAGGGATGATAAGGTGTGAAATGGCAGGAAATGGTCAGCATCAAGAGCAGTTGATGAGGCTGTAAGTAGACTGATACACAAAGACATTGTTGGAACAACAGCAGTAGGAAGACAAGGTATAGGAACAACTAAGAGCACCTTCTGGAAAAAGGCTGATGTGGAAGAAAGGTGTAGGACGGTCCAGGAGGAAATTAGAAATGGTGAGGAAGAACAAAGGCAGGCCAAAGCTGAGTTGCATTGGAGCCCAAGGAGCGTGGACAAGATGGGATACAGAACCGTGTGCATTTTCCTGGTCAGAAATCTGGAAGTATCTGCAATTCCTCCTCTGGTCTGTGTATGACATGCTACCAACACCAGCAAATTTCCATCGAACCTTTCAATAACACCTGATTGCCCCCTGTGTGGACAGAGAGGAACATTACAGCACATTCTTACCTCTTGTAAGGTGGCCTTAGCACAGGGAAGATATACAAGTCGCCACAACCAAGTCTTAAGGGAGTTGGCAGATATTACGGAAAAGGAAAGAAAGAATAAGGCCAGCCAACCAAGGTCCAGACATACACATTAGGTTTGTGAAGGAAGGCCAGACACCAACATCCACATCACCGTAGAGAACTTCCAGAATTCTTTGTCAGGCAGGAGACTGGAAGCTGGCGCTAGACCTTAATAAGAGACTAACCTTTCCGGACATTGTACCAAGCAACCTTCAGCTGGATATGGTTCTTTGGTCATCAACGACAAGAATGGTCCTTGTCATAGAGCTGATGCAGTGAAGCAGACGAACGGAATAGAGGAAAGTACGAAGCATTGCTGAAGGAGTGCAGGAGGGAGAAAGGGTGGCAGACTTGGAGCTTCCCGGTCGAGGTGGGATGCAGGGGGCTTCCCCGCACAGTCTGTATGGGGAATGCTAGCTGCATTGGGAGTGTCATGCTGGGTGTGGATTATGAAAGACTCAAGTAGCTGGACACCCACCACTGATGCGCAGTGACTGACCATTACTGTGGACCCCCCATCCTGAGAGTGTACCGAGCTTGGGGTCGAAACTCACAATGAGGGATGACCTCGGCTGAGGATGTCGGCGGTGAAGCAGTAGAAACATCTTAGCTGTATTGTGGCAAATTCTGGTCATCAAGCACAACTACAGACAAAGAGATACCTCCACAAAACAAAAGTCCAAAACTAAAATTATCAGAATTCAATATTGTTGCTTGTTGGTCGTTTAGGTATTCTAATCTCAGCCAGAAAGAACATTGTCAAAAAATAGATGAGCGGAAGTCTATCTAAGAAATTTGAAATTTCTTCAGCCCAAACTTTACAAGAAATACCAACAACTAACTTTTACATCATCACTGTCCAAATCAAACTAGCCAGCTGTTTATCAGTGATTTTGTTTTATATCAGATGTAAAATTAGCAAATCACAACAAGAGACTGTGGGAAACCTACAAATGATATTTGAGAATGATCCATCCAAACCCTCTCAAGATATTGCAATCACAACCTACAACTGATAAAATTCAAGATGGCCGTCTGTCGGCCATTTTGTTTTTCTGGTCAATCTAAAAATAGAGGATGCACAAGGAAATACAATTTCAGAATGATCAATCACATATATATATATATATGTGTGTGTTTGTGCATGTGTTGTAGTCATACAGCAGCACAGTAACTTATCGTAAAATAATTACAGAAACCAGTCCTTGGCCAATGACAACGACAATTGTACTTGTACAGCTCAGACGATGCACATTTACCTTTGATCGGGTCGTTATCCGGGTCAGGCTGTTGTACACTTTGTGCGCGTCGCTGTCAATATAGCGCTTGCTTTGAAAGTTAACTATCTAAAAAAGCATTAAACTGACCCAGACAACATGGCGGAACCGGCAACAAACGATGCGTCTCTGTTGGAAAGAACCTTACAGGTTTTTGTGCCACAACCTTGCTATGATGAATTCTTTGTCAAGTTTAACTTCTTTGATGGTAAATATGACTTCTGTTTGGATTTCTTCATTTGTTTTCCGTGAAAACTTTCATGTTTCCATTAAGACGTTTTCAGTAAGTCGTTTCGACAACGCATTCGACTCAGACAAATGAGCTTTTCAGTGTTAGCTACTTTGGGACGAAACGTCTTAATATTCGATCAAAGTTCATGACGTGGTACCCAATCCACCTTCAATGTATCATACTTAAAGAATGATCCAGATTAATACGAAACATGCCATGCCCAAAAATAAAAATATGCGATCATTTATAATAATGTTAGGCCAGTGGTACCAGCCTAGTCTGAATACGGAGGTACTTGTACACTTACAATTATCACCTCGTAATTAATAGGATGAGTCTGTATAGTGCAAACGGTTCTGCGATTTTAATCTTGGACTAGAGTGGGTATTGACATACGAGGCTACTAACTCCAAGACCGAAAATTTCTGTCTCTAAAATGATAATTTGATGTCAATATTCACATCTGTTATGCTGTTATTGATATTTACATTTTTATTGACTTTTAAATTATCATTTCAGAGACAGAAATTTTCAGTCTAGGTATAAGTACCTGCCTGTTATATGCCTAATATGTAAATTTAACTGTGTCTTTACTAGACATGCATAACAGAATTCTTTTGTATGTGTAAATAATATTGTATTTAAACATTAGGGCTTTATATTGTAACCCCAACCTTAAATCTTCAAATCGTGGAATGATCATACCATTTTCCTTAATAATAAAATGTCTTATGTTTTGTAAAAGTGTTGATTTCTCAAAAGTGATTTTATTGTGCATCAGATCTATGGTTCTGCTTTCTGGCTAGATAAATGAAAGACAACATTTTCCAAAGTTCAACAAATGTACTACTGTGTACAACAATTAAAGTAACACAAAGACAAGATAATGATAACCACGTACAACACAGGTACATCATTTCGTTCCAACAACTCATGATATTCACTGATCTAGTGTACTGTGCCAAAATGGCCATCCAGTATCCCACCCTATGGAATTAACACATACAAGGATGATGAAAAACTTGTAACTGACTACAAAGGAAAATAGCACCTATCCCAGAATGATTTAGAGGTCTATTGCTGAAACACTATCCTACATTCCAACACTATCCTACATTCCTGACTACAATCCAGCCTGCTACATGTAAGCCTCTAACAGACTGTCCTATAATACAAAAACATGTTTATGTAGCCTTTATTTATATGCCTTGATATATATATATGTAGTGTGTTATTAAATTCAATACTGACCCATATCTGAGCATAGAGTGCTGTAGAGGATTCCTTGAATATTGACCAATCAGAAACATTTAAATATACAACCAGGAAGGGAATCCCCAACAGGAATACCCCAGAAACACAATATGGAGCCAATGATAACAACACACATTCTGGTTTGCAGGACATAAAATATGTACAAAGCATAAGTGTTCAAACCCAATAATTTTACACATGGCTGTGTTGGTGTAAAATTCTGTAAGCAAAAACTGCTGCTGTAATTACAACTACACCAATGATCATTTCAATGTGGGAAGTATGCTTGATTGTTCAAACTTGATAAAAAGTTGGCGGCAGGATTACATGCAAGAATTATTGTATGTGTACCAATTCATTGTATGTATGCCTTACTTAATGTGCCAAGAGTAATTCACTGATTTTTCCGTCTATGATATAAATATCTCACTAGTTTTCCACCTGCATGAATTTAGATTGATGAGTGTACCTTAATTGTGATGTCAACACTTTGTATTCTTGTCTGATGTCTTGATATTGGTTGACATTGTCATGAAGGAATAAAGAACAATCACTTTATTCACCCAAGAATTTCCTCTTGTTCTGTGTCATTGACAAAACTGTTTCCCTTCTGTGTAAGGATATACTTCTGATGTCTATAGAAATAGTGCTTCTGTTTTTAAGGATACCTGGTATACAAACCAACAATTATTTCAAGTAATATATACAGGGTTTTCCATAATTTTGTTAGTAGTAGGCTGTGTAGTGAAAGTTGTCCTGCGTGTACGTGGTTTTAAGGAACATTATTACAGAACTGGATTGGTTTAGGCGGCCAAATACAAACCAACAATTATTTTAAGTAATATATCTATGAAAAGGGAGGCAACTCTGTTTTAATGTGCCATGATCCAACGTTAATAGAGCGATTACTCTGCTGTCTGCATCTCCCCTGAGCTGCACTCTTATAAACTAGATTTGATAAAAATAAAAATAAAACAAATCATATAAAATCTGTGGTAATTTCAAACAGGTCATGCCTGGAAAGAGTGCAGTTTGTCATCTGCAGGTGACTTCTACATAGGTATAGCTTGAATATGATTGGATAGGTAAATATATATATATACATTGTATATCATGATGTGTAGGAAGCTTATGTGATATTGTAGGGATCAATATAGTCAATGCTCAAAGGATGGAATATCAGGGCTTTAATGTTGTATGCAGTTGAAGATTAATCATTTTTTTCTTTATTTCAGCTGTTTGTGCCAAAGTGGTCCTTAGCAAATGTCTTGGCTACAGTATCATACTCGGTGCTGTATTAGGTAAGATTTTACTACCTCGGTATGTTATTGTCAGGATCAAATTCGTTCTTTCCCTAGTACTCTTAACACTGAAGTTCAGCATACAACAGCTGTTATATATTTGATAGTATTTTAGCTAGCATTTCTGAAATATATTGTTTCTTTAAACCTACAAAATTTATTTCAAGTTGATTTCTAGTTTAGCACACCACCATCAGATGGGATTAATCTGAAAATAAAATAGCTGTCAGGTGGCCATCTTTGATTTTGTTATTACTTGTAGTTTATGTTCACTATATTTCCTGAGATATAATATATCAGAAAAAATTAGAAGGTCAACAGGCATCTGTGTTGGATTTTCTCAGGAAAAAAATACTGTCCAACAGGTGGCCATCTTTGATTTTGATAATTATAGTTTGTAATCAGTATTTTTTGTAGTGCTGGAAGGTTCTTAGTCTACATATGTTTTTCAACTGGTGGCCATCTTGGATTTTGTCAGGTATAGTTTGTAATCACTATTTCTTGTAGTACTGGAAGGTTCTTAGTCTACATATGTTTTCCAACTGGTGGCCATCTTGGATTTTGAAAGTTATAGTTTGTAATCAGTATTTCTTGTAATGCTGCATGGTTCTAAGTCTACATATATTGGTTTCATTTTGTGCCATATTGCCTATGATAGTGTTCACAGCAATGAAGAAGAAAGAAAAGTTAAGCAAAAAGGCAATCAAAGTAAATAAAATCCGATAAAAATGATACAATAGTTGGTGTGAAGATCCCTCAAGAATCTCATCAATTAAAAGATTGAAAGAGGGATTATTTTTAATCAAATTTTGAAAGGAGTATTTTTTTATGTGTGACATGTCACAAAAAATTAATTGTATATCATGTTTGGAATGATTGTACATAATCGTCTTGGATATTTTTCAGTGAAATTGCCACAGATTATCAAGATTTCCCAAGCTAAGAGCGCAAAAGGCATCAGCTTCATGAGTGTTTTGTTTGAGTTGATAGCAGTATCTGCCACCACTGCTTATGGATATGCCATGAGATTTCCTTTCAGGTGAGTCAGGTATGGTAAGGAATTGTTAGGTTTATTGATGTTAGTCACATGTAGCTTGCCTAATTCAAAGAACTATTTTGAACTTATGCAGTATAATATTTAATTTTCCAAAAGAATTTCCAACTTAATGAAAGGACAAAGATGTACCAAAGCAATAATATTTAGAATGGTCTTTATATTAATCCACATCGTCGCTTTAAAAAAAATCCAAAATACAGTGATATATTGGTAATGCTATCAGTACCTGAAGTCACCATAAACCTTAACATTGATCAAACCTGATAGTGACAGCAGTTGTACAAGGCCAAAAAAAGATGCATGTTTGTTTCCTGTTACATGTAGGAGGTGGTCCTGACCGAACAGTGCTCCCTTGAGAACTGCTACAATATGTAGTTTAGGGTAGTCTCAAAGTTAGGCTTAGTAGGGTATCCAAGAGTATTTTTGAAACTGATGAATGCTTCCTGGCAAAAAAAAACTTTATCAAATACAAAATTTAGATAAAGGGCAATAATTCTGTAATTAAGGGGTTACAGATTCAGAATTTAGTACAATTCACATCCAATGTATACACCAAAATTCATTATCCTTGCTCAAATTGGATATTAAAGTTTGACAAAGGGAAATAACTCTGTAATTAAAGGTTTATAGGTCCTAACTTTTTAGCACTGTACATTGCAGTAGTATAGCCAATGTATTCACCAAGTTTCAAATTCTAGTTTAAATGCAAGCAGAAGTATTCTCCAAACATGAAATTTTAAATAAGGGCATTACCAGGTAACTCTGTAATTAAGATGTTGCATGCCCTAAATTTGGTACACTACACATCTTCATAGCATGACCAAAGTATTCCAGTACATTAAATTTCAAAATTCATAAATGAAAGCCATGTTAAGGTCTGGACACAAAAAATATAACAAAGGGTGATAACTCTACAGCTAAAGCGTTTTTGATTTGGTACAGTGCAGGTCGCTTATGGCGAACACATAAACCATGATCCCTGTTTAACTGTTGGCAAAGTTATGCTCCAGACACGAAAGGATGGACGGACAGACAAAGCAGCTTCTATATGCTTCCTCGAAAATTTTAGAGCATAAAATATTTTGTTATGCTTGGCGCATGTTAAAATAATTTGTTAATTTTTATGTTTCAGTTCATATGGTGAAGGCATATTCTTAGTGCTACAGACTACAGTCATTGTGTACCTGGTGCTGTATTACACTGGTCAAAAGAGCGGGGCTATACTCTTCCTAGTCATCTACAGTTTGTGTATGGCCTACCTGCTTTCACCCGTGGCATCAATCCAGCTGCTGTCTGTAATCCAGAGCTTCAACATTTTGATAGTCATACTAAGTAAAGTAAGTATCAGGAAATGATTAGGAGAGATAGGTGAACTACACATTACCGACGATCTGATGAAGACCAATGCATTGTCTTTCAATCTGCCATCAATTTTTATTGGTTACAAAGTCTCTTTTAATACTTTTTACCGAATATCTTTGAAACTTTTAAAGTTTCTGACCATGATATAAATTGTGCTTTCGTGAACATCTTTTAAATATGACTAGAAGAATCAATGGTTTTTGTTTCTTTTTCATTCACAATTGTAGTCTAGTCCAGTTATCTCCCCTCTTAGTTTTTGCCAAACATCTTTCAAACTATGTAGGCTTATTAATATGACTTAAGTTGAGTTGTGTAGTGGCCCTGGGGCTGGGCCAATCGTCACTGACTGGGTAGCTTGGTTGATAGAGTATTCTTCTAGAATTTGGAGGTTCCTAGGTTTGAAATCCAGCCTGGCCATGATTTTTCTGCTCATATTATAGTCATATGAATTGAAATAAAAATATATAGGTTTTCATGATTCTTTGAAAACTGCTTATGCCCTTAGCTTTGGAGAGTAAATTGTAATTAGTAAAACAATGGATGTGTCTTACTCTCAGCATAAAATCCTATATCAGAATTAGACTTGAAATTTACAGATTGTAGAAAAAGCAATTTTCGAACATATATAAATATATTAAATAAAAAATGTGAAGGAGTTGTCTCCCTTCTTCTAGAAAATGGCATTATGAAGTTAAATGCAGAAAGTGATTTGTTACAACAATTGTAATACTGTATTATGATTGTTTATAAATGCTTTTCATTCTTTACCGTCCGTCAAAATGTTTTGATGAGAAATGAAATGATAAAAAAAGTTCACTTGAACGTAACGCTACATCCGCATTGTTCAGGATAATCAAAAACAGCACTTAACAAACAAATTTTATCACTCGAAGTTTACTGGGAATTTTACTCTATAATTCCTGAAAATGAGGAGTTTATGAACTTCTTAGTAAATCATCATTAGATAGACTCTGTAATTACTTACTGCCATCATTATTACTGCTCTTTCTTTGTATTATTAAAATATTCCTTACTTTGTGCATGGCACGTTGGTGTTGTATGAATGTCTGACAAAGTCTGTGTACAGATAATACAGGGCATTATGATGTATGTGTCTGACCATGTTTTTGTTACAGATGATACAAGCTGTAACTAATTATAGAAACAGCAGCACTGGACAGATTTCCGTCATCACAGTCACCTTGTTGTTTACCGGCTCCCTAGCACGGATCTTCACTTCCCAGCAGGAAACAGGTGACACATTGATAATCCTGAGTTTTGTGGCAGCGTCTCTTTGTAACGGAATTATCTTAGCCCAGGTACTTTACTATTGGAACAAAAAGCCCAAGGAAGACTAAAGACGTCGACAGTAGGGACCTGCTACAGTAGACAAGTCCAGATTTTTATTTGTATATAATGAGTGTGTTGAGGTGCGACCAATATTGGTTTTTTGACAAAAACCAACATTAACTTAACGAAAACAAACATTAGTGTACAACTGTAAGTAATATTGATGTGTGAATACTCTAAACAGAGTGGGAATGAATATTTGATACTTTAACCATTTAACAGTTGTTAGTTTGTATTATTGTCAATATGATGACAAAACAGATAGAATATCCGTTGGGATGTGAAGACTATTTAACTGTTGACCATATTGCATTCATATTTTTTAAAAAAAATACAATGCGAAAACTATTCAATAGAATTATTTATGTTTCCGATATTATTTCAAAATATTCACATCTTTTTAGTTCCCTAATGATGAAACCAAGGGGTCTGTCCCTGTGTCTGTGAAAGTTTGTCAAGTGCTCTAGTGGTTTCATTCATACCTCAAGGGATTCATATCAATTTTCAGACATTCATAAAATTTGAGTTTCAGGGTTATTGGGTCTAAGACAAGATTTATGGAGCTATATTTCTTCTCAAAGTATCCAAGAAAATGTTTTTATTTGAAAATCACGAAAAATCAAGCCCCATAAAAATTATTTTTTAGTAAATGATGTGTCGGAGGATTGTCAACATGTTATGTTGTATATTATGACCATCAAGACCAACCAAACAACATACTGTAGTTATGGATATAGGAATTCTACCACTGTTTTTGTTGGTTTATTCTGTGACCTTTATTTTATTATATACATAAGTAATATATCATTTAGTATCTTTTTTTTTTCTCATTTGACATTTCAAAATTTTATTGATTAATCTGGAGTGTTGAAACCAACTCTGACTTCTTTCTAGTGACAATGGTTACTAATACTGTCTATGTAATGTAATACAGATTTGATAACAACTCGTACATGCAACAGGTGACTAGCTTTAATTTATTGAACATTCTCTCTAAAGACAAAAGTAGACTGACATGGCAGCCATCACACAAAGGTCAAAGTTTAACACATCAGGTATGATGCAGTGTAAAAGTTACATAGTTTTCATCCTGACTTCAAGATTTGTTTAAATCCAACCCAGATGTCTATGCAGAATACCACAGGTAACATATTGTATTATTTGTGTTGGAGTATGGAATTTTTATATCTTAGCCTAACAGACCATAAAGCTTACTCTTCAAGGCCTCTATAAGCAGTAGGATCATTTTGATTCCCAGTGATAGTATATACAGCAGCATGTATGTGACTATATTAGTCAGTTTAGGTTAACCAACATCCTTGATATGCCAGGTGTTATGCTAACGATTGCTCTCTGCACCCCTGACACATTTCATGACAGTATTGAAAGTTCCATGAGCGACATCTGGTGGAAAAGACAAGAAGGCTTGTTTAATCCTTTGATGTCAATCAAATGAATCTCAAGGTCACAATAAAGTACTTGTATTGGTTTTAAAGATTTTGTTTTCTTCTGAAACCCGCTCAAAACCAATCAGATTGTGCCATGAAATGTTCCAGGGGTGCAGAAAGCAAAAGTGATTTGAACTCCTTGAGTATTGAGGATAGTTAACCAACCATGTCAGCACCAATGTAACCAAAGACATCATCACCTGAAGAACCACTAACTTCAATTATAATCAAGGGTTATTGGATTAAGTATCTGTAGTACTGATACTTTTTTCCTTTTGCAATGGAACACAACACTGAAATGAAGTTTGTTTTGTGTTTTTTAAAAGTATATTGCAAAGTCAAGATATTACACAAAATGGCAAAGGTCTCTCAACTTTAATTGTGGGTATTTAACATTGGCTATGGTAATTAAGAGACTATGAATGACACACAATGCTAAGAGTTTTGTGTGAAACATGTTCACATGAAATCTTATTTATGAAATCTCTGCTTACTGTTAAGAAATTTTTGCCCAACATAATTGTGTGGTTCAAGTTTATAGAGTTTTTGAAATCCTTTTAAGAGAAAAAATGTATCTTTGTTGAAGTTATTAACAGACTTCTATTTTCTATGTTGTATTTATTTATTTTCAGAAACCAGTATCTTAAAATCATTCTTTCTTTGTAGCAGTAAACAAATTTATTGACAGGTTAAACCAATGTCAGTTTTTCAGAAGGGTCCAAATAAAATATGGAACACAGCTTGCTTTTGCTATTCCATTCCTATATCTATTTTGACTTGTTCCTCTAAAAGGTGTTCAAAATCAAGATATTTGTCAATCTGCAGATCCAATTTTTCAGTTATGTACAAGCCATGGAAATCTAAAAGTTTTCTGATTTTAATCATGCAGGATGCAGGTACTTGTAGATCAAACATTTCATTTCGTTTTATTTTCAAATATTGTACAAAAGTAAATGTATTAAAAGATACAAAAATTAAATTTAAGTCACAAAGAAATTTTGTTATTGAATGAAGGATCAAAGGGTCAGTACTTATTAAATTATTTTGATAATAACAGAATTAGAGAAAGATGTGGCCCGTCTTTAAACTTCTTCATAGCAAAAGATGTACCAGGTATTGAAGGACAGAGAGACAAACGGATGGACTCACAGACTACAGACAAAAATTTGGACAGTTTATCACTTGTTGTTGGGCCAGAAACTGATTTACATGGGATTTTTACACATATATATGTACTTAGTGAAAATCTGTTAGTATAAAGGTCCATTATCAGAACTTGCCTGGAATGATATTGAGATGATACCAACAAAGTGATATGAGCTAACATAACGACATTACTTTATATATTTATCAAAAAAAGTTCGCTCTCTCTTCATCGTTACAACAGAATGGATTCCAAGCTCTGTCGAATCTTAAATGCGATCTCATACGAATTAAACTTATTTTCCGTTTCTAACGTTACCGTCTTCAACATTTTGAAGTTATGGTACAAGCTCCACACACGCCGAAAGATGTGTCACTGTCGATTAAATGTTTTAAGCATGTCTTGAGTAGACGTCCTTAATCTGAATCTTTTATTGAATACAGACTTTCAATAATATTACTGTTTTTGCTGTACGCGGCCATGTTGGACGTCACTAAAACACGGAGCGGAAAACGGATCAGAACATCCGTATACTTTTTGTATAGCGCATAAGTGTCCGCCATCACAAGTGATGTTTTCGTATGATTTCTCGACCAACAGTCCATATGTACATTATTGTCACTATAATATGTATATAGACAGTGGGTAGGGAATTTGTGCCACTACAACTGAAAAATAAATCGATATCAAAAAGTAGGTAGACTACGGAATCACGAGGAAAAAGAAGGAAAATTTCCATGATATTTTATTTAAGACTGTGCAATGAACAGTAAGCTCCGATTCCCGAAAGGTGCATTCACATAAATTAGAAACAACCAACAGTAACATCAAGGACTTAAAATAGATCTATTCTAAGTCATGGCGGCACTATGCATCACTCGGTAAGATGCAATTTTGCATAAACAGTAAAAATAAGCTATGACTACAACTCTCTAATATCCCATTTTCTTAGTTTACAGTTTTTACTTTTGGTGATCGTAATCATAAATCTTTTGAAAAAATGCTTCATCTTGAAACTTATAAGTAAATAAATTTATTCAGTAAAGCCTCATAGAATAGATATTCGTATCACCACAGCTTGTACTTACTATAGAGGGAAGAACATCCTTCAATTTGGACAAAAAGAATCTTGATTTTAATGTCCTTTATCACATTGATAGAATCTCAAGGTTATGTTGGTGCTTCATAGCAACATTTTATTAGACATTGTTTTTGTTCAAAATAAGGGACTTACAAAGTTTTAGCAACTCAATCTTTCTCATAATATGATCTGGCCCCACTTGTATAAAACATCTCAACTTGAGATTTCCTAATATCTCCTTGAAAATATCTTGTATGAAAATTCCTCAAGGAATTTCAGGACATCCTAGCCGATGCCTTCCTCCTGTTCCTTGAGAAAATTTTATACAAGCCGTTTTTGAGGAGATATCAGCTGAGGAAAATCTCGACTTGAGGAAATCTCAAGTTGAGATGTTTTATACAAGTTGGGCCAGGTACCTAGTTTGGATTCGTCGTGAAGGCAATGATTATAATCGGACAGACGTTCCATGGTTGTATCTATATATCGGATATTAAAACAACGCCATCATATTTCAGATTTAGCTCTCGTATGTTTACACATCGAAAGAGCTTTTCAAAAACCATACTCAGCTAAATGATTAACGTGAAGCTATCATGCGTGTTTTTGAGGTGACGTGCAAAGCGTTGAAGCAACGTCGACCAAGATGGCGCCAAAATGACGTCATGTTATTGTCCTGTGGTCCAGACTAAATTTATACCCCTGAGAATACGGTTTAGATTAACAATGAGTTAATGGGAGGCCATCATGCAAAATATAGAAATATAAGCCTTTTTAAAAAAAGCTTTTGATATTATTAGAAAAAAATGTTGCCGAACTGGGATATCAATGGATATCATTAACTTCGATAATGATATACAATATCCCCAAATCAGCTCCGCAGGCCAACTTTGAACTCGTGTCAATTGTTTGTCTGGCCGAACGAATTTAGAGACTGAGTTTATGGATCCCATCTGTCTGCACCGATATCTGATGAATGTATTTCGTTGTCATATATTGCTATGTCGCATTTAATTACATTTTTCCATCATTTGTCGCCGGTCAGTTTGTGGCTATTGGTCACCATTTAGTCATCGTTTTGTCACTTTATCGCTATCCGGTTACCATATCGAATATTTCTTGGCATGTCGTCGTTTGTCGCCATATGTCGCCAGTTTATCGTGAGAGATTTTAAAAGTCATCGCAACATGTCTTGTTATCACAGGTCAACGAAACATGGCCTAAATGAGCTTGACACATTGTCAAAAGTCGCTAAAGCATGACCTATTGTTAAGGTCACCAAAACTGACACGATTAAGGTCACCGGACCTTGATCTATTGTCAGGGGTCACTAAACATGACCTACTGTTTGAGAACATGGATTTGTTTCTGGTTCCTAAAATACGGCTTATTGTTCAAGGTCACGAGTCTTTACTTGAAATTATGTACCTATTGACTGAAAAAAATAATAAATATTATATGTTCGAAGCTTCACGCGGAAATTAAACTGATCAGGAATTGTTAACAGCTTGTAGCAATACCGTTTATTTGTTTGCCCCTTCCTCGAGATTTGTTTGTCCATCTTTTGAGATTTTACTCAATACATTTCATTCTAATTTTCTCAGAAAGATAACTTAAATACTATCTCGTGAAAACGATATATTGTATAAAGCACTTCACTAATTTTAGGGGCCGAGTGGTTAAGGCGTCTGACTATCATTATCACTTGCCCACCACCTCTGGGTCGCTGGTTCGAAACCTTCCTAGGACATTCGCCAGGCATATGCCGCAAGTCGGATATTTTCTGTGGGAACTCCGGATTTACGTAAATGACACTGTCTGTTAATAGAACGTAAAAACATCAATAAACATAAACCTGTACATCTTTATGGAATATTATTTTTATTTATTTATATACGATAAGTATCAGATATCCTGTATGATCTGAGATACAGACATATCATATAATGAAGTGGTCCGTTAGAAACAACGGTGTTTAATAGACGTGTTAACATACACGGACTAACATTCCAACAAGTTTAGGGCACATTTAGAAGATTTATCGATAGAAATCCATTTGGAAAAAGATAGCCCAAAACAAGAAAGACGTGATCTACATGTACAAAATACATTACTAAGTATTGATTTCTAAATAACCGTACCCCTGTTGTTGTAAAAGCAGCCGATAATGTTTTTGCAGCGGTATACACAATATACTTAGTGATGGGGATTTCTATAACAACACAAAGTACCGATTCTGACGCGAGAACGGGTAATGTTATTTAACAGAATAAGGAGTTGTATTTATCTATTTATTTTATTTGTTTGTCTATTTATTTATTTAAACAAATATAGTTGTTTAAACGTGCTTATTATGACGCAAACAACTTTTACTGTTATGTTGATGATGATGATGATGATGATGATGATGATGATGATGATAATGAATTAAACACAAATACACATTTGCTTCGATGCTATCCGAAATATTTGTGTGAATTTGTAATTGTGTACATATGTATTGTTATTTTTATACGTTTTATTGAAAAAAAAATGAAATCTACAAAAACAAAACCGAGAACCCCCCCCTAAAAAAACCCCAAATAAAACAAATAAGAACAAAAAAATTAGCGCATTATCAAATAACAAATAAACGTAATGATGAATTTGCGCATTCGCGGCATTGGCATAATGATATAAAGAAACAGCGATTAGTGCAATCATATTTTAGCGCTATCTTTCTAGCGCTAAAATCGCTAAAATAAGGTTACCACAAAGACAGTTACACGTAGAGTATTTTACATAACGGTATATCGAAGTAGAAGATGTCACGAATCTAAAGGTTGGATTTGAGGTTGTGTACAGTGTGTGTCAAGGTTTATACACACATTTTTTGTACATCTAATGCTAAAACATTTGTAAATGTGTAGTCATTTACATCAAATACGATTTGGACATTTTTCGTCGTTTACCAAAAAAAGCCCAGCGGTTCTATATTTGTCTCTCGTGACGTCATTGCAACAGTCCACTTTCCGATATTTCACACGATTTTGAGTATGGATGCTGGTTGAACAAATAGAGGACAAATCGATTTCTGCTTCATAGTCGTTAATGTTTTAAACATCCAGATTGTTCTCGATAGGCTTCCATTTTATTCCAGGATATTTTCATCTAACCAAGCCTACATCGAAGGGCGCTTTAAGGCAGCCTCGTCACTTTGAAATCGGCCGACACTCCTTCACTACTTCACGACAAAATCATCACAATTGCGGTGATACACAGCCAATTACTGTAATATGCGGCCAGCTTAATATTCACCCTTATCATGTCATGAAAAGATTACAGAATAAAGAGATCTTGTTTACGAAAATGAGATGTTTTCCTTAACCAGCATGACTGCAAAGAACGCAGGGATTTGGCACGAATTCTCGACCCACGGTCCATATTGTTACTATGTATAATATGGACAGTGGATCGAAAATTTATTCAAATTCCTGTGGCAAGGGCTAGGCCGAAGGCAAATTCAATTACCAAATACG